TTCGTCTAATTGCTGTGATTGTTGTCAAGTGTATCGTACGTTAAGCCCTCATATAGTTTCCAGGTTGCTTATTTATTAAGAGAGGGTTTTTGCCACGGTTTTTCCAACAACTTCATAAGCTGCTTTTGAAGTTTATCTCAGCTTTTCCAGCTGCTTTTTATGGAGCTGCCGATGCAAACAGTTTAGAGTCTAGGAGAGGTCTTGCTGCGAGCATCTCCTTTTTGGATTCCGCCTAATTACCTCAAAACAGCATTTTTCACCCGAACAGTTCTGTCTCCATCTTCGTTTGACGTCTTCAGCGCTAATTTCAGTACCAGATTTGTTGTAGCAAGGGGGCAAGTGGAATGCAAGTTTAGTAGACAGCAGTTTAAGTGATTTTTGTAAACATGGGCTGATAGAGGCAGACCAGGGAGAGTGAAGAAAAAACTTGGAAATACGTATGAAAGTAATCAGAAGGAAAGAAAAAGCTAGATTTTTAGGCTTTTTATGATAGATAGTTTCTTCGGCACCACTCTCCAGCGCCTTTGTTTACGGCATATTTGGTTGTGAAGTCTCCAAACAGACTTTGAACATGCTGAGAAAAAGGAGAAAGTCGGACTGTAAAATATTTGGTATTCGCCATCACCTTAGGCTTTGGCATCTCCTAATTTTATCAATTTTGGACTTAATTGGTTCCGACAAGCACCTAAATGCCCACAATTTTCAAAATTAGAGGCTAATTTAAAATTTTATTCTTCTAAGCAACCAAGTTGCTAAAGTTCAGAAATTCAACAGAGACGTTCTCAGTGCTGCTATTTTTAGTTTTTTACTATTGACAGTACCACCTACATGCTTAAAAGAATCTTCTTCAAAAAACTCCTCCCTCACTTTTCTGGCTCCTTAAATTTTCCAAATGCACATCACCAAAAGAGCAGCCGTTTTAGATAACTTGTCTCCAAAAACTGCTGATAAGTTTAAAATAACCCAAAAGTACTTCTGATTTGTCGTAATTTTTTGAACGAATATCCTACTATTTGCTCTGCAAGTTGCAAGTACAACCTTGCGAGCGACTTGAAACTATATGAATAAAACTGCATGAAACCTGAGTGACTGCCTTTTCAGAGAGTACTTTCAAAATGATAACTGTATGCTTTCAATTCTTTGTGATTCCTGCGTAAAAGAAAATCCGTTTTTTGTTGAGATATGTACGATCTCAGTTTTATTTATACACTAGAATTCGATGAAAACAGCAATTAATCCGCGATCTTCGAGGTAAAAAATTACTACTCTTTTAGGAACGTTTCAAAGACATTTTCAAATTAGGGTTCTGTCCACTTTCCTTCAAATTCGTGGCAGTTTTCTCTTGAAGAAAAAAATTGCAACACCAGTCTTCATCAAAATAAATCCGATCTTTTTTTAAATAAATTTTTCACCTATCAATTGTTCAAAATGAAACCTGCAGTGGGAATTCCTGATTCTAGTTACAAGTATACCAAGCAAAGTAGAACGAAAGCGAGAGTATCTAGGACAGGTTTGGTTTTATTAGTTGAAAATGCAGGACTTCCCCGCATACGTTTTTTCGGCAGTGTCTATCGGTCGATATTAATACAAAATTCATCCGACAGTTCATGGCTTGATAGCAGTCTGTTGGTTGTATATACCCCTGCACAAACGTGGATAATACGAACCACATTTTCCTAATGCCAGAAAATCTGAAACGTTTTAGAATGTTATACCTTACTCTAAGTGCTTTAAATAAAACCAATTTCCTCTTCAAGTGTTCCAATTTCGTACTGCTCTCACTCGTCACGCAGAAAACAAAACTAGCGACTATTCCGCTTTAGCAGTGGCGAACACCGCACTTTTGCAGGCAAAGCCACGAATGTTGTAGAAGATAAATTTCCAGTAGATATTACTATGTGTGTTAAACGAATGCAATATGAGTGCTCTTCACAACTGGGAGCGGTCACAAATTTTAAAGGTTTTTAGCTGGGAAATGTAATTTTTTGACTTTCAGAATTTGTAAGCTGAAAGATTTGAAGACGGTCTGATGAGCTACTACTACCAAGTGGCCTATTTTTGGCAGAAGCCAAAATTAGTCATCTAAAATTGTACTGCTTTAGTTCAGGGAAGTTAAGTATCCTTCTGAGTTTATCGGTTTTAAGAGTTTCAGTATTTCACTGAGTAACGGCACTATGGCGCTTCGTGCTGTTAGTTCCGGAATGTCTATTTAATTCAATGAGAAATAAAAGTCCTATCCTAGAGCTGATGAACTCAAAGGACTGCCCTCAAAAGACTTCTTAAATAAAATAGTGAAGCTAGACAGTGGAATTCTTGAGCATCCCGACGACTACTGACTGATCCCCAAATGGACATTCTGAACGAAAAGTCATCCGGAACTGTATAGTGAGCTGCAGTACAAAACATAGACCTCCAAGAAGACTGAGAAGTGAATTGAAATTGCGTGACTACTTCCAGTCGGGCCAGCGTAGTCTGATAGCTTATTCGTTCCACTGGCTATAAGCTCATCCTGGGAAGAACACTGGTCACATTTAATTAGCTACTGAACCATAGAACGTTTCAACTTTGTCGAGGTTTGGCGTCAGGAAACCGCCTGTGTTGCAGCGGACATGATTCCTGTTAGCGCTGTCCTTCCTTGTCCTTCTTTTTGTCCTTCCTTTCTTGGACAGGGTGACACCATATTCGTGGTACTGTTATTTCCTATTGAAGAGTTTTGAAATATTTTCGTGGGATTATTATCTCAATAACGAGCTCAGCTGAACTTTGTTAACAATAAGCGCAGTATTTCTGCGGCACTACAACTGAAAAAAACTCCTGCAAGTACGTTATAAAGGGTCAGTTTGTTATGATACTAGTGGCTGACATTAAAGATTTAATCGGCTTTTGCTAAGCTTTAACAAAAAGTTGGGAAACACTGACCCAAAAGTTCATCCTTGTTTATTGTGTTTCATCTCGAACGGTCATTTTGTTTCGTTAAAATGAAGGAATGAAGTCCTGTGTATCACAGCTGATGAAAACCGTACACACTCCCAGCATGCAAGAGTAACAGCGTTAACATCTAGGTTCTTAACTAAACGGTCTCAAGTTGAAATCGAAGCGATTTCCGCAAAACCCCGTCGCTACTGCTAACCCAGTAGACTGTTTATGCAGTAAGGGCTAACTTTTGATAAGTCTGCCAGTCGCGGATAAAGCAACAATTTTGGTAGACTCATGGTCTGTTTGTCATGAGCATAGTGCCGCCTATTTTGAAAGCATATCAATAAGAAACGAATGAATACTTTCAAGTGTAAGCAAAAAAAATGCTTGTTTAACTAGTGCCTGAATTCCTTCAAGTTTCTAAGAAACCCATGATGTACAGTAAAAACTCACGTACTGATCCCAGTACTAGTATTACATCCTTATATCAACATTAATATCAAAGGAAGCCTACACGTATTCGTAAACGGCTGTACAATTGCTTAAGTAGCTTGTTCTCGTATAGGGCTAAACTTGATCCTCAAGGACTTCAGTTGTGTCTCTTTTTTGTCTTTTTTTTTTTTTT